CTCTTCGCTCAGGTTCACACGCTTTCTTCTGTTGCCCCTGGGTAGTGTGGTGTACTTTTCTCCAAAGTGTCTTCTCCCTCTGCTAAGTTAGTAACGGCTGTCTGTCTGAATGAATGAACGGATGGATGGATGACAAAAATCCATTTTGGGTTCTTTTTTTGCCCCACACTTCAGAAATCCAGCCAGACCTTTTGCTGGCTGTTTTCCCCACAACTCGCAATAATTATCTACTTTCCTGTGATTTGCCCAACCTGGTTTCAGCCTCTTTCTGCTCTAGAGGAGAGCCCAGGCCCGCCACTAGGAGACCCACCAACCTCTCTCTCACCTCCCCCCCTTTCCTCCTGGTCCCTCAGGTGTACCTGGAGCGCTTCCCTCCGCAAGAGGTCTACGTTCGATTTTTCGGGGGCTGGATGACGGACTGGACCCTCCAGGTCCAGCTCCGATCCCTGGATGCGAAGCTGCAGGAGGCGGGCCGGGCCACCCAGGCAGGCTTGTTTTACAGGGCCGGCTTCAACAGGTGGGTGTCTGGGGAACCCTCTTGAGTTTGTGTTGTGTTAGGACTTCCCCTTGCATGGGAGACGGAGGGAGAGGGAGTCTGTGCTGGGGCCAAGCAAGGCGTGCCTCTCCAGGAAGAAGAGGTCCCTTTGTGGGGGGGGGGGTTACAGCTCCTTTTCTTACTAACCTTTCCCTTCCCCTCTTTCTCTCTCCCGCCCCCGCCCCCCAGTCCCTGGGAAATTGCTAGCCGGCGGAATGAGGTCTGGCGAATCGCACAGGGAGAGCTGGGGTGCGGCTCTACCCTTGAGGAATAACCAGCCCTCCACATGCCTTGGGGTTCGGTCCAGTGACAGTAAGGGACCCAGACGTCTTGGCCGCCTCTGGACAAAGCTTGGCCTTCCCTCCCGGGGGGTGGGGGTGGGCAGGCTGATTCTGCCCTCGCCTCTGGACAAAGCTTGGCCTTCCCTCCGTGGGGGTGGGTGGGCTGATTCTGCCCCCTCTCCAGTGGCGGGAGAAGGAGTCAACCAGATGCCATTCCACCTCCCTTTCCGGGGACAGAGAAGAGACTCTTGAGGGCCCATCTCACTCTGCAGGGCGTCCCCTGCTCTGAAGGCAAGCACTCTAGAGGCAGAGGGGCTGAGGTTCTCCAGGTGTCCCCCTTGGCCCTCGTGACCCTATGCAGGCCCTCAGGAATGCTTCTTGCACCCCTGGCCAACTTTCCGCCAGCTCTCTGTTTTTTTGTGGAAAGGGAGAAAAAAGGGAGAGGGGAAATAAGAGAAGAAATGCAACTCTTCCCTCCCCAAATACTTAAAAAAACAGACAAACTGGACTTCATCTCTGCTTTTGTCCTTCCTCCAAGATTTCTGGTTGTGTGTCCCCACCCCCAAATAAAACTATCACAGGGCAGAGAATGGGCTGCCTCTCCCACGTTTACTGTCTCAACTCTACAGAAACAGAACTGGCTATTTTCCTCCTTGGTGGAAAGGAGGCTTTGACCTCCGAATCCCCCTTTCCCAGCTA